GCATTCATCCTTACACATTCATTGTTCAGGTCCATAAAATTTGCTTTTCCACATTTTGGTTTTGTGACCTTGCATTTCCCAGAACATGTCTCCTCATCTATGAAATGGAAACCATATCATTCAACTCAAATTTTTGTGAGAATTAAAGCGTTACTTTACACAAGTGCCTATTACCGAAAGCTTCACACAATGATGCACAGCATATATTTGTGGAAGAGGAGGAGGAGGAGAAGAAAGGAGAGTGCTACAAAGTCACCAAGAAGCCAAGGCAAAAAAAGTTGTAATGGTGCTTATCCTGTGTGATAGCTTTCAATTACAGTTGGCTCAATCTTACCTATTGACTAAGATGAACAGAATGTATTTTCAAAATAAGTCATCAGTAAAGCTTCCTATTGGCTTTGGTGATGGCTACGTCCAGCAAAATAAACTTTCATGGAGAAATTATGTGGGGTTCTCTGTTGCTGTAATTACATGCATTGGTTTTAGTTGTCCTACAGAAACAAACAGAAACAGTGCTTGATCCATTTGAATTTTTTAACGCCAGAGAAAGTAGGAAACATTCCTGACCTCAAATCTGTATTCTTTAGGAGAGGAAAGTCAGAAGAGTCTAATATATATTTCTGTTATCATAGCTCCATGAAGTTTTCAAAGCCTGTTCACAGTCTTTAATTTTTGTTTTTGTTTTTGAGTTTCACAACATAAAGAAACCCACACATATACTATAACTATCTCTCTCTCTATATATATATATATGAAAGGCTAAGTGACCGTCCAACCAACTGACAGTCAGACTGGTAGCTATGACTTGAAATGACCACTAGGGGTCAGATGCTCCATCTGGTAGCTATGATGCTTACTGACCACCAAGTGGCAGATGCTCAATGCAGAAGCTGCAGAGCTGTGGTGAACCGCCCTCTGGCAATCAAGGGTCCCTGGGGGATGTTGGAGAGCCAGTTTTGGCCCAAAACCCTCAGGCCAGACCCAGGCACCCCACCTGCTGGGGGGACCCTGCTCACTCCGCAGATGCCCTTCAAGGCAGGGCACTGCTATGTGAGGCAGGCTGGGAAGGGATCCCAGGAGGTTGGCTCCAGGGTATGTCTTGCCCAGTCCCACCCTGCAGGCCACGTTCTAATTAATTTCCTTTCAATGGGCACGGATCTGTGCACCAGGACTGCAGTTGTATTATATTATCACACAAGGAATAACAGAACCTTTTAAGAATTTGGTTCTAAGAACATGTACTTTAATAAAGACAAAGGACATTTTCATTTCTGACAGTCTAAAGAGTGTTAAGAGCACTGAGTTAACATGGCTCAGTAGGTAAGCATCAACCCATGAAACAGGAGGTCATGGTTCAATTCCCTGTCTGGGAATATGCCTGGATTGTGCCCTGATCCCTATGGGGGGCATGCAGGAGGCAGGGAGCCAATCAATTATTCTCTCTCATCATTGATGTTCCTATTTCCCTCTAGCTCTCTTATCCTCTTTCTGAAATCAATAAAAATTATATTTGAAAACAGTATTAAAAGTACAAACTTTGGAGGTAGGCAGAAATAAGTTCATATTCCAGCACAGCCATGTTCTTATCCTGTGAGATTACAGGCAAGATGCTTCACAGAATATGTTGGTGAGGTTGTGGAGAAATAGGATGCCTAGTACACTTCTGGTGGTAATGCAGACTGATGCTGCCATTATGGAGTTTCCTCAATAAATTAAATATGGAGCTGTGATTTGACCCAAGTGCCCATAAGCAGATGAGTGGATAAAAAAGCTGTGGTACATTTTCGCAGTAGAATACTATGCAACTGAAAAAAAAGAGAAACTCTTACCATTTGCAACAGCTTGGATGGACCTGGAGAGTATTATGCTAAGTGAAATAAGCCAGTCAAAGAAAGATAAGTTCACATGATCTCACTCATATGTGGAATCTAATGAACTAAATAAACCAATGAACAAAATAGATCCAGAAACAATGTCATTTTGATTTTTTTAAAAAAGAAAACTAAAAGGGGAAGTTAGTGGAATAATCTGATGTTGAAAAATTTTGCTATATTACAAGGTATCAGTATGTTTTCATTGTGCTTATTATAAGTGATCAAATTATGGTAGCTACTACTTTGAACACACAACCTTCACATGCTCTGTATTACTTTAAGAAGCAAAAAATGGGACAACTGGGAAAGATAAGTACTCTACATCAATAATCACTATTCAGAAATATTTGCTTTGGGAGATGGCAAACAACTGCAGCAGGCTCTTTTTCAATAGCCATATTTCCTAATGTTAACTGCCATAGCCAGAGTAGGATAAATACTTGGAAGAGGCTGATGTTCATACAGTAATGTAACCTCTTGTATTTAAGAGTGAAGAGAGCTCTAGAAACATTATTTGGAACACCTGGTGCTCATTCATTATATTTCACTTGATAATTTTAAAAATATATATACTTATTCCTTTCATAGAGGTAGGGAGAGGGAAAGAGAGATAGAAACATCAGTGATGAGAGAGAATCATTGATCAGCTGGCTCCTGCACTCCCCTACTTGGGATTGAGCCCTGCCCCCCACCCCCCCAAACCTGGGCATGTGACCTTGAACAAAATGTTACCTGGGACACTTCAGTCCCCAGGATGACACTCTATCCACTGAGCCAAACCAGCTAGGACTCCCTTGATAATTGTAATAATGGGTACAAGTAATTTCTGTTGTACATCTATTTTTCCTCTTTGGAAAAAGTATATGCCATATGACAAAAGGGGACAACAGTGAATTTCTAAAGGGGTTTGAATATACTGGACATCACCTTTAGGCTAATTGTCATTTTACTATGACAATGTCACTTCGTTCTTAAACTTAAATGGAGATATTCTCCCCATGCTTCATATTGCAGGAAACAATAATATTAATGTTAATAATGATGTTAATAATAATACTAATTTCAAGCAATGATTTCTAGAATAGATTGAGTTCCCATTGAATCATGGTCACTGATTTTCTATTTCTTAGCTTCATATTTTAACTTCTACCAACCATCTTAAGGGATCTTAGCTGTATTAATATATTTTATTATATTTAATTGATTGGCAATCTCAACATGCCTCACTTAACACTTACTCAGAAAGAATGTCCTTCAACAGTGATGTCTGAAGAAAATCTTTAAAATAATCAGATGGCGAAGATTCATTGCAACGGCTTGAGTATCACACATTACCTCATACAAAAGGAGAACTGAACCAATGTGTGTTGAATAGTAGAATGGATGAAATAAATGTGTTTTAGGACAAGATTCAAGCTGCTGCCATGGTTGGAGAATTACATCTAATCTGTAATTTGTGTATTATTGTATTATTGGCTATGACCAAGAAAAAGCCATGCTGCATTGAAATTGTAAAACACCTAATGATACATGCTAAGGAGTTTACTATTTATTTTTTTGGAATTTGAAGTAGATGATTATCCTGAGTATTAGGGAAAAAATATTGGCATGGATTTTAAGAGAGGCATCTGTTTCAGTAATGTGGGTGTGATCTGTAATCTCTAATCAAGGAGAACAGAAAGAATTTTAAGGTATTTGATGGCTTAAAAGTCACCGGTGACCTTTGAAAAGGCACACTCACAAATTGATGGAGACTAAACAAAAGAAGTAAACTATATTTTCTGTTCTGGCCAAAATAGAGTAACGGGGATCATATTTATGCCCTGGAACACCTGGAAAAATAATGAAATAAAATAATATAAAATTATAAAAGACACTGGACATCAGGAAGCAGAGACAGATGCCTCATAGATAGGAAATAAATGAGGTGACTCCTATGATGGCTCCACATTCCTTCCGTTTCTAGGCCACAGCTCAGAGAGGCAAAGACCAGCAGTAACGCTATGTAAAAGAGATGGAGCTAAGACACTATAGAGAACAAGGTGCGTAGAGATCTCAAGGCAGACAACCAGAGAGCAAAATGAGAGAAAGAGAGGGAACTCCAGAATCTTACACCCCACATGAATGATTCAGGGGATTACTGATCAGCTCTTGTGTGAATACATTATTAGAAGCCAGGAAAGAAACCACTGGAAAGGGTTCTTGATAACTGATACTCACACAGAGCCTGCAATAGTGACCTTTACTGTCAGCCAGACTAGAAAACCTCTAAATGCACGGGCACTGAATAATTTATGTGGAAGGGTCTTGCTGCAGGAGTGAGGAACAGTTAATTAAACATACCGCATGGTATAACAGTATTTAGCCATGTACTATCACAGGGAACTGCTCTGTTTATTTAAATCAAATCTTAAAAAGGATACCAAAGAATCAAGCTGTTTCCAAGAAACACAACAGTATCCAAAAAGGGCAAATATTATTTGTAAAAAGAAAATGGATGTTGAACAACACATGGGTTTTAAATAAAGACAGGATCAGTAGTAGGGCACCGATCTATCCTTTGTCCTCAGGCTTTAATATGGCACTGTTTTTCTGATTATGTTGAAATGCTACCTTAAAAGATAACTGATCTTGATTTCTGAGGGGGATTTTGGGTGCCATCTTAAGTTGTACACCCAATGCTTCACTCACTTCACCCATATTTGGGCAAATATCAAAACCTGAGGGCTGAGAGTACATAGAAAAAACATGGCTCTCAGAAGCTCCCCCCTATCAATTGTTACCTATAATTTATCCAGGAGAAATGAAAGTACTTGTATGAAGATGTGAACAGGTGAAATATTCGTGACCCCTTGATTTCCAAACAGCCTCAAACTGGAATCAATCCAAAAGTCCATCAAAAGATGAGTGGGGAGCTGACCTGTGGTGTGCCCATACAGGAGGACAATTCTCTACCACAAGCAAGAATGCAACCTTGCGGGCCATCCCTGGACAATGCAGGCTGTGCAGGGGCGCGTGCTGACCCGCCTCAGAAAGAATAAGAATGAGTCAGCACTGGGCAATGGTCTCCTAGCAACTGGGCCGCTGGGACAACAAACCCCTGAGGCCATCTAGTCCAAGGGCGTCATGGCTTGCCAGCAGTGGCCCTTACCGGAGCCCCACGAGGGGTGGATGTTAAAGTCGGACCTGAGGAAGAAGGCACTCATAGAGTCAGGGCTGATCAAGCCCTGGCAGTCAGGGCCGAAGCTGAACAAGAAGCCAGAGCCCAGCCAGAAGTGGATGCTAGGGCCGGGACCACTGGAGCCCTTGCCCCTGGGCATGAAATGTAAGCCCTGGTTTAAGGACAGGGACAGGTTGCCTTCCCGCTATCTCTCCAGGCAGAATAAGCAGCTTGCGAAGTGCCCCACCTCCATGGACAGCCGGCGGTGGGTATTTGTGAAGGAGGGACTGGACGACTTCAGAACGGGCTGTCCATCTGCTGAAGATGTGATCACTCGTGGCCCTCGGGAAGGCTTTCTCCCCATGATTGCTCATAGAATTCCCCGCCCTCCGCCCAAAAAGATTCACAGGCAGCCGCCCACGGGAGCGGAGCTGTGTTCCAAGCTCTCGCCAGCCCAGCGAGCACGGAAGGCCTTTGTAGAGAACATTGAAGCCAACCTGACCCAGCATTCCTTGGCGAACTGCCCGAATCTGGAGGAAGCTCTCCCTCCAGACCTCCTGCTCAAGGTCCTGGAAGTGCTAGATCCTGACAGGAAGCTGGAGGACACGTGGGCGTATTGTGAGGGCACCAAGGAAAGAAAGAAGACCCCCACACACCTGTGTGAAGAACATCCTGAGGAGGTCAACCTGGAGCCTCCCCAGGCAGTGAACCTGGAGCCTCCCCAGGCAGTGAACCTGGAGCCTCCGGAGGCAGTGAACCTGGAGCCTCCCCAGGCAGTGAATGTGGAGCCTCCGGAGGCAGTCCACCCCGAATCTGCCTGGAAGCTCAACCTGGAACCTCCCGAGGAGGACAACCTGGAACCTGAAGACCAAGCCCACGTGGAAACGGCCAAGGAGAGTCTCCAGTCATATTTATTCAGTTTGTTTCCTGAGGAAGAGATAAATGCAGCATGCACAATTCATATCCCCAAGGATCCTGGGCTCCAGAAATCAAGAAGAAGAATTCGTGAATTCTGCAGATGGATCGATGATAATTTTGGAGACATAGGCATTGATGAAGAGGACCTCATGAAACAGTTTGAAGTTGACTTAGAGGTCCCACTCACCCATAATACAGTCAAAATAAAGAAAATAAGCCAGCTTCCTTTGAATATAAGGCCCTGCAAACAGCTAGATGACATACAGCAGAGAAAATTCTCCCTGCAGGAAGGCAACTGGGAAAGGAAACTCCGAAAACCAGAAGACCCTTATAAACCCAAACGGGAGAAGATAAGGTATGGAGCATGGTACCTGGACCCCAAATCCTGGAAAAAGCTGGTCAATGACCAGCCTTTGCCCGACCCTAAAGTCGTCCCTGACAAGGAACATTTGACCGATGGAAGGCATCTTGAACCAGACATTATTGATGAACTTTATGGACCAATTGCTTTCAAAGATTTCATTGTAAGCAAGGGCTACAAGATGCCAGGTGTGATTGAGAAGATGTTTATGAGGAAGGGATGGAACTATGAGTCTGTGAAGACTCCTATACACCGAGTAATGAAACTCCTCTCCAAACCCAAAGAGGAGGATTCAGGGGACAAAGAGGATTAGACAATTTTCTATTTACTGCTCACTTGGCTAGTGTGTCTCTCTCATTTTAACATAAGTCAGAATTCACCATGAGTGCCTCACTGTGTATGGACAATTTGATTCCACAATATCTGTAAATTTTTAGCACCTATTGCTAATAAAACTTTCTGAATGAGCTTCTGCTTGGGTTCATCAATGTGTTATGTATTTTACCAACTATGAAGTAAATATTTATATATACTCCTCTTGGTTTTGATTGTGTTAGGAGTATTATATTTTCATTTCAATTATTCATTAAAAATAACCATAAATAAATGAATTACCTAAAAGGATCTTGTTGCCCAGCCGATGTGGCTCAGTGGTTGAGTGTAGACCTATGTATCAAGAGGTCATGGTTTGATTCCTGCTCAGGGCACATGCCCGGGTTGCTGGCTCGATCCCCAGTGTGTTTGTTGGGGCGGGGGGTACATGCTGGAAGCCCCCGATTAATGTTTCTGTGTCATCATTGATGTTTCTCTCTCTTCCTCTCCCTCTCTGAAATTCAGTAAAAGTATATTAAAAATTATGCCAGCTACAACTTGGGATGAATTCCAAGATAATCGTGCATAATGAAAGAACTATCGCTCCGATAATACTCAATTTATAATGCATTATGACAATTATTTTGTTAAGCACAACTTGTAACCCGTAGCCGAAGTAATTTTATGCATTTTTTTTTTTGAATTGTCCATGGCTACCTTTGCACTACGACATGAGAATTTAGGAATTATCACAGAGATCATATGGCCTGCAAGCCTAAAATATTTCCTATCTGATTTTTTACAGTAAAATTTACTCTCCCCCTGATCTAGAAGGAAAATATATTCATACATATATTAAATCAATTATTCCACTCTTTAGCTGAACAGAAGATAATACATTCTCATCTATGGAATTGAATAAAGTAAAATATTTTTATAAAATTAACTATTTAGTTAGACCTTTCTGAACACTTTTCAAATCTGCCTATGACTTTTAATATTCTTAGGGTCAAAAATCCCTGAGGCATATCATCATATTTATGATAGTCCCTGTTTCTTGTAATATCTCTCCATGAGATGACTTGTCATACAGAGATTTCCCATGACTACAAAAATGTGGGTGTTAAATGTGAGGTAAAGCAGCCTGAACATGATAAAGACAGACTAACTTTCTTTCCACTGAAATGGCTAATTAATTCAATGGGATGTCCACAAAGGTAGGTTGGCCAGGAAACATTGATTGTATGTCACATATATATTCCAACCCTACACTCAAGACCCATGGGGCCAAAATTAATTTATTTAGGGTATTGTGCTAAGGAGTCGACCATTCACCTCCATGAAGTAATTTCCTGGGATATTCTTCTGCTTTCCCAGACTACACAGGGCACAAGACTGAATGTTTTCTTTGGTGCCTAGGGCTGCTGCTTGTCCTCTACAGCCCAGGACAACAGCAAGGCACTGCTCTTTGCAGTCCTCCGAGCCAATCAAGTGTCAGGAAAAAGGTTTCTACAAAGAACACACATTCTCCTCAGCTGCCACAGGGTGGGGGCACAGTGTCTGCTTAAGGCCAGTCCCTGGAAGCAGAATGGGGAGGCTCAGGGAAGGGCAGAGGTTCCAGGAGAACACATGAGGTCTGGATTTCAGGAAGTGAGCTGGAAAGTTTCTCCCACAGACTCAACTTAATAAAAGGGGCCACCTGGCGCTAATACTCAGTGTGAAAAGCAGCTTTCAAGCAGGGGGAGATCTCAGTCAAAAGCACAGCTAGCATTTCTGTTTGATTTTGGGGGGATGGGCTGAAATAGGCCTGTACCCATTAAACTTCCTGAAATGAACACCTAGACCACAGGCTGTATAACCATCAGGCTTTAAGGGTCTATGTAGAGTGGGATGTTGTCCAATGGAAGTCCTCCTAGGGGCAGAGCAGGCAGCTCACAGGGTGTCTTTGGAAAGGATGACACAGGGAGAAACAGTACTGACAGACACACAGAGTTACAGACACCAGGAACCGGAAGCCACGTGACAGAGCCTCTGGATAAATTATGGTTCTTTCTGTGCAGATATAAAATGGGCATTATTGAAAGTCATAGGACAGCTCAGGGCAGGGGTGGGGGTGTGTGTCAAGAATTCTTTGAATATCTCCTCCCTGGCCTACTTGCACCTGGAATGGTGCTCTGCCAGGAGGGGCTGCAGAACATCCACGAGCTCCTTCTAGAGCTCCCAGGTGAACATGGCTCCACTGCTGTAATCATTCCTGATCTGTTCCAGCTTGTCCTCATCCTCGAGGAAGAAGGTCATGTACGTGAAGGACACGTCCAGGTGGCCATTTCCCCCAAACTGCCTGTGCTCCTCCATGATGTGTCTCCCTCCATAAAACACATACTTGTTGACCTTGGTCTTGATCTGCTTGGCAGTGTCTGTGAGGAAGTGGGCCAGTTGGGGTCACTGGCACTCCTTTGGGTCTGAGTCCCCTGCAGGGAGGGGAAGAAGGTCAAGTGCAGCAGGATGGTTTAGGATAGAAGATCCTGGGTGTGACATCTCTTGTCATCCTGAAGTAAGGATCCTGGTTGATGGCACAGGGGCTGAGGCCCTGGATGTCCATCTCGCTCCCGAAGTTCTGTGGGAATGAGTTACTGAAGAAGGGAGCAGCCTGGATGGCAGGAAAGCTGATCTTCCCCTTGCAATCACTGTCTGAAAAGCCAAAAATGCCTTTCACTTGGTTGAAGGTCACGTGCTTCTGATCTTCACCATGTTCTTGTAGAAGTCTGTGCTCACCCCCATGTAGTCGAGGTCAGAGAAGATGGGCTTGTTGATGTGAAAGCTGTAGGTGATGATGTCCTTGGCATTTTCCATGGAGTAGCCATACGCCTGGTGCAGGGTCAGGTCTTCCACAGGTACTTCTAGTCATCTGCCATCTGGATGAGCAAGAGCTCATTAAACATGTCCTGCAGCCACTTTTTGAAAATTAACAGGATGTGGTAGCCTACATGCATGGCTTTGGAAGAGGGGCCCCTGCCCATATACAAGTGAAACAGCTTCTTGTTTTCATAGGCATCGAGGACTTGGTTCATGTCTCTGTTTGAGAAGAAGGTGCATCTGTGCAGGAAGCAGTGCAGTCTCTGGCTCCTGGTTTTCTCTATTCTGTTTATCAGCTCTTGGTCAATGTTACTGCTTCCAAACAGAACAATGAGCTTGTCATAGTCACTGCCTTTTGCACTGTTCTTCTGTTCAGTTCAGGGGTCCACAAAATCCATTTCAGCTTCCATGGCACCTGGACCACTAACCCAGGTGCAAGGCTCTCTGGAAGGCGGTGGCCTTGTAGTTCTCCCCCGTGGCCACATTGTAGCTCATTTTTAGCAATAACAGCCTCTTCACTGCAGAATCAATTTCATCCTGGGCTGCGGGGGGCACTGAAGAGGTGGCCAGTGGAGTAGCTGAGATCTCTGTGCAGCTGGGCTCTTCTTTTATAGTCTTCCCCCTCTTACTGTTTCCTTTTTTAAGCCCCTTTCTTCTCTTTTCTTCTTGTTCACCCCACCCTGCAGCTATTTGCAGTAAGAATTTCTTAGAAATCAACCAGTTTCTCACAAATACTTGAGCCTCTTGACCAATTCCTCATGAGACAGTCCAATCAGGAGTTGGCTGTGAGTGTGTGTGTTTGGGGGAGGGTAGGTGTAGAGACCAATGAAACCCACTCTAAATTCAAACTATTAGCTGGTCATTGCATCATTAGCTGGTCATTAGCCACCCCACACTGCAAGCTGGCCTCCATTTAACCTCCCCACTCACTTCCCATCTCACATCCTTAGTCTCAGTATGAGAACTGAGTTTTCATTTGTCCTGATGGGAAGAAAGACAGACTCCAAGTGCCCTGCAGGTATTTTACACTAAGGCAATGTTGTGAAAGATCAGTTCTGGGGTCACAGGGACCTGAATTTCCAAAGACAGCTTTGACTTTTTAAAAAATATATATTTTTATTCATTTCAGAGAGGAAAGGAGATGGAGTGAGATGAAAACTTCAATGATGAGAATTATTGATCATGTGCCTCCTGCACACCCCCTACTAGGGATTGAGCCCATAACCTGGGAATATGCCCTTGACCAGAATCAAACATGGGACCCTTCAATCTACAGGCCAATGCTCAATCCACTGAGCCAAACTGGTTAGAGCTGGCTTGTTACTTTTCTTTTTATTGCTGAAAGTATTATACATGTCCCTTTTTTTACCCCTAGTGACCTCTCCCAGCACCTTACCCCCAAATCCTTCACTACCCCATTGTCTGTGTCCATGGGTTATGCATATATGCACATGAGTTTAGTGGTTGAATTCTTCCTCCCTCCACCCTCTCCTTCTTTCCCTCTGAGGGTTGCCAGTGTGTTCCATGTCTCTTTGACTCTAGGTCTATTTTCTCATCACTTTATGTTCTTAGTTATTTTTCACATATGACTGAGATCATATGATATTGATCTTTCTCCCACTGGCTTATGCAAATTAACCGGCATCTTTGTTGGATTAATTTGCATACTCATCCTGATTGGCTGGTGGGCATAGCAGAGTGACGCCAATTTGCATGTTTCTCTTTTATTAGTATAGACTAGAGGCGTGGTGCACAAAAATTTGTGCACTGGCGGGGGGGGGTGTCCCTCAGCTCCACTTGTGCCCTCTCACAGTCTGGGACCCCTTGCGAGATAATGACCTGCTGGCTTAGGCCTGCTCCCGGGTAGCAGAGGGCAGGCCCCATCCCTAGGTGCACCCCCCGGTTGGGCTCAGAGTAGGGCTGATTGGGGAGTTGGGGCACCACCCTCAGTCACGATCAGGGTAGGGCCAATTGGGGAGTTGAAGTGCCACCCCCTGTCACAATCAAGGCAGGGTCAATGGGGAGGTTGCGGCTTCACCCCCTCTCACGCACAGAGCAGGGCCCATCAGGGGCATTGGGGCTCCGTACCCTGTCACACACAGAGTAGGGCTGATCAGGGGGTTGGGGAGCTCCCCCCGTCAATCA